TTCGTCGTCGAACCGCTCGTCACTGATTACCTGCAATTTCAAGCAGATTTAGGAACCCAAAGTTTCTTGGGTCCTGGTGAGTTTTTCACAGAGAAAGGAATTACAATAGAAGCATTAACAAAATAAGTTCTTTTGACGAGAGTTCTTTGATCTTTTCTTTTGATAGTAAACACCTTAATTTTTGTTTTATCTTCTTTAAATTTTAATGTATCTTCATTAGTTGGTTTAGTGTTTTTCGTTTGATTCTTAGGCTTAGGGGAGGATCGCTTCTGTTGATATTGGAACCTGGAGGATCCATATCTAGAATTGGGACTGAAACCGGTGTTAGAACTAAATCTTGTGCAAGGGTTGAACTTGGGTCGTTGACCAAAACCTGGTCTAGAACCGAAACTTGGTTGAGAACCGAAACTCGGTTGAGAACCGAAACTTGGTTTAGAACCGACACTCGGTTGAGAACTGAAACTTGGTTTAGGACCGAAACTCGGTTGAGAACCGAAACTTGGTTTAGGACCAAAACTCGATTGAGAACCGAAACTTGGTTTAGAACTGACACTCGGTTGAGAACTGAAACTTGGTTTAGAACCGAGACTTGACTTTTGGTTTTGGGATTTGGAATAATAGGAGTTAGGAGCAAAATCTTCCTTTAACTTTTGCTTCCCTTTATCCATGGATTCCTTCCAAGGAGATTCATAGTTAGGATTTTGAGAATTCCAATGCCTTTTCCATTCATTTAGATTCGAGGCATATCGCTGATTTCTGAGTCTTTTCTGTTCAGCTAGTTCCTTCTGAGATTTGTGAATATTGAAACTTGACTCTGATTTTTCCTTCATTCTCTTGTCTTCCAATCTGGTTTCGGTGTGTTCCTTAGTTTGAACTACCGATGCTTCCTGTCTCTTGAGTGGACCTTTCGGTTCTTTTCTTTTGATTGGAGCGTCAGGTTGCATTGATGGTTCTCCTGGAACATCTTTCGTTCCGCTTGTGCTGGGAATATCGAAACTTGAAGGTTTATTGATGGGTTCTGGTATGTATCGCCCTTTGACTCTCCATGTGGTTCTCTCAGACAGACCCACAGTCTCATCTGCATTGTCAATGGGAGTAGACCAGAAATAGTCTTCGCATCCTTCAACATTATCCTCTTCAACTATCGTCCTTAATTCAGTTGTTTGTCTGTGAGTGACTCCAGTCACATCATAAAATTGGTTTGGTACGGTCTGTACCTTCTGATAAACCATAGCCTTTTCTTTGAGTTTCAGTTTCTATTCCTTTGACAAACAAGCAAACTCAACTGTGTTTTCTGAAATAAGAGGTTTTTCACTCTTGGCTTCATTTTTCACAAACTCAGAACAATCAACAACATCCTCTACTGAGATTTCACTCATCTCACTCACTGTTTCAAATTCAGAAGTATTATCTATTATAATTTTATTATCCCTGACGAATTTGGCATTTGATTCTTCGAATGTTTGTATAGTTTTGTTTTTAATATTCATCCTATCATTTTCATCTAGGATATCTCTTAACATACTTTTATGTTCCTTAGAATCGATGAAAGTTTCTATCTTATCTAAACCTAGCCTATATGACATGGATGTTTCTTCAGAGGAAACTTCTGATTCACACTCTGCTATAACATCATCTTCCTTAAATTCAAGAAAGGGCAAAATCATTTTATGTATTTTCTTTCCAATTTCACAATTAAGATGTAATTGAGCAATATTAGTATAAAGATGCTTAGCAATTAAACAGAAAACATTTCTTTGTTTTAATAATTTCAAATTGTCTCTTTGCAAATAAATACTCTCATCCTTAGCCCTAACTAACTCTGTTTCCTTCTGCTCAATCCAGATCCTTCTCTCCTCGCTTTTTGAAGACACCCTGCCGATTTGGTCAGTTAGGTTAGAGTTTGCTAAGCGGGTTTGCATGAGGCTGCTACTTAGGTTGTTAAATTTAAAGTTTAGTTCATTTAATTCTTCTAGATATTCAGTTTTGGAAATTTTAAGAGATTCAAGGAGAGAATGTACCTTCTTAATCAATCGATCGCAGTCGTTGATCTTCTCACTTACTGGCTTGGCTGCAAAACACTTGTTCTCAGTCATGTTCGGTTCTGTGTCTGCACTTTCGGTTGATGGTCCAGTAGTGACTATCAAGCATTTTCCACCAGAACCTCCATTCTTTGCCAGAAACGCCTTTATGTGCGTGGGTCTTCTAACCTCTTCGTCTTCTGAATCTGTTGACCTGACTTCTGCGCCGCCAAACTCGTCTTCCCCTGCATTTTCTTGTACAATTAAAGCATTCATCGAGCTGTTGGAAGCCTTTTTCTTTTTGACTTCTTCAAGTTTTCGCATATAATATGCTTCATCGTCTTCACCCTCTTTCTTCTCAGGCGTCTTTCTTAACATGCAATCTTTGGCAAAATGGTTCTTGCCGTGACAGTAATTGTAGTCGTATCCAGAGTCTCCTGCAAGCTTGTTTTCTTTTTTCTCTTCCACCTTTTGAGAAGAGCCTTTCGGTTCCTCTTTTACTTTCTCGGAACTTTAGTTTCCTTGCCAATTTCGGTTCTTGTTGGTAGGAAATTTTCTTCTTGCAAATTTCTTTGGATTTGTTATCATCAGAGCATACTCCTCACTTGTAAGATCACATTCTGACATGTCTGACTCTTCTTCTTCCTCAACAGTACTTTTCCTTTAGAGACAAGAGCCAGTGATCCCATGCCAGAGACCAGTTTCGCCTCCTTAGTTACAACACTTTCATGTGACTTCAGTATACCAACTAGTTTCGCTAGAGAGTAGGATTTGAAATGTTCATGCGCCTTCATAGTGGAAACCACAGCCATCCATTAATGTAACTTTCTGTTCGATCACCTTCCTTTCAATTCCCTGCTTGATCATCGTACTTAAAAGATGATTGAACCGATCAAAGGTCTGAATGAGCTTCTCTTCAGGTTTCTGTTCAAATGCTCTGAATTCTGATAGCAACAGAGTTTGAATGGAGTGTTCCAGATCCTCATCAGTTGAGTAGAGTTCCTTCAACCTATCCCAGATTTCCTTAGCAGTTGTGCATGAGCCTACAAGCCGAAAGGTGTCAGATTGTAAGGCGAATCTTATCATTCGCATGGCTTTGACATTACACAGATACTTGTCCTTCTCATCTTGCGGCATCTTCTGAACATCTGTTACCAACTTGTTGTAATCTTTATGTGTCTTGACAATGGTGTTTGTTTCTGAATGCACGAACGGTCCAAGAACAATAGCTTCCCAGATGAGATAGCCATTATCTTCGGATCCAACCACCTAATCTTCAAAGTGATGAGCCCATACTTCGAAGTCTTGAGTGTAGAGTATGGGTACTCTGGTTGTAGAACCGATGCTATTTGAGATGTTAATAGGGTTTGTATGCGTATCTTCATGAGACATGGTGAGCTGCTAGAATCTTACCTGTAAACTTAAGATTAGGGTTTTATCAAAAGCTGAGTAGTCGTCGTTAAGAAGACGACGACTTCGATAATAGCGGAAACCCTAACTATTTGTGAATATAGAAGAGAAGTGTATCGACGAACACAATCTCCTGCTCTGATACCAATTGTTAGAACAAAGTTCTATCAGGATCGTATGATTCTAAGCAAAATATTAATAAGAGCGTAAATAAGAACACAAGTATTGCAATGAAGATGTCGAATGATTAATGCAAAATACCCCAGAAGAGCTCGATTAAGAACTTCAATCTGTAGAGCTAAAAATTAGGGTTACAAGAATCAACGTGAACGACTAATCTATTATATACGCATACATGCATGCATATATATATATATATATATATATATATTATATATATATATATATATATATATATATATATATATATATATATAAAAACAAACCCTAACAACTTATCTAGATAAAGGAAACTATTCTAGATAACTACGGACGGATAAGTCAAATCCGATTACAAAACAAAAAACCCAAGACGCAACACTTAAAATATTCAATAGAATATATTAGCTTATTAAGGTGGATTATGCTTCTTTTCTACAGGAAGATTTCATTACATATGTTAATCACTCGAAGAAAGATATTGACATTGCAAATGCCAGATTTTTGAGTTTGGTGCTTGTCGAAGCTTATAAACAATTTGGGATTTAGATTCTACATGGATAGGAATTTGTTGTGTTTTCTCATCTCCATATTACAAAAAATTTGGTAGATGATCTAGAAACGTTTCCTGTTATTGAAAGGATATCTAATGTAATGCTTGAGTTGGTACCATTATCGAATCCTATTTTGATTCGATATCATGAGATGCTTAGTGAAGTTCCTAAGGTGTCTACTCCCAAGTAGAAAAAGTCAAAATCAAAAGGAGGTATTGTTCCTACAGAACCCTTAGGTGATGAGCAACAACATAAGATACATAAGGCTACTAGTGTCTTGAAGACAATTCGTAGCAAGAAGAATGTTTCTAACCCAATCAAGAAGAAAAACTATATCAAAGTTTATGTTCCTGCTACTCCTAATGATGATTAGGAAACTAAAAAATATTATATGGATTTGTCCAAGGGAAAATCTTCTCAAAATACTCCTCATGTGAATATAGACGAAGTTGATCATATGATCAATGATGCATTTGTCAATGATATACTACCTGTTCCACCATGAAAGATTGCCACTGTCAAATCTACTAAAGAATAGATTGGAAATCTGGATTTCACTGTAAACACGTATAACATGGACACAAACATCATAAATAATGAACCGCCTTCTCAATCTTTTCCTCTATCTACAACATATGTGTCACCACCTGAAGTTCCTACTACCAAGCCCATTATGGAGGAGGGTAGAACTTTAGGAATTCCTGAGCATGCATCTAATGTGGACTTAGATGTCAACATGGGTGACAAGTCTACAATTAACAATTTGAGAATTCCTCCATCATTGGATTCACCACACAATGTTTCTTTGTATCATTCGTAAAATTCTCTAACTTATCATGGTATTATCACACAACGAATGACCACTTTGTTTTCTTCCCAATCTAAAGATCATGGAAAGGATAGTCCTCATACTATGCAAAAGATGATAGTAAAATGGTTTTGGTTTTCAAAGTTGACTTTTGATACTAAAGATGAAGATATAGCTAATGAAGCTTTGATGTCTGTCAAGCAGTACAGGATTTCAAAATCTAAGATAAATATGATTCTCTAGTTCATTAACGATTTTAATGGGAATGCTTCTTCATCTGTTAGCAAGGGAAAAGTGTTATCTTTATTAAATTGCCATGAATCAATGGTCAAAATTGTGGTGTAGAGAGTTCTAACTAAACTCCATGAGATGATGGATAATAGTTTCAAAGACAGTTCAATTTCATCTCTCTAAATTTCGTAATGTTGCAAGGGAGCATCGTGAGATCATTGGGAAGAATTTATCAGAGTTTAAGAAGTCTGTTGAACGTAAGATCAAAGAAGTTCATGATTTTATCACCATAAAAGTCAAGAAGTTTGATGGAATGTTCCTTGGAATCCAAAAGAATACTGATTTTCGTTTGGGTGTTGCAAAAACCTTGGTTCAAGATTTTTGTGTATTCAATATTGAATACAAAGAAGTTCTTGAGAAAAAGTAAGAAGGGGATGAAACCTTATTTAAAGCTATTGAGACTTCTCTTAATACTTTACAGGAGAAAATACAATAGTTTGCTGCTACTTCTAGAACATTGACATCTAAAGAGCATTTCAACAAAGTTGTATCTGTAATTGAAGCTTGCTTCAAGACTCAGCTTGCTCCTATCTTGGATCTTATTATTCGCCTATCCACGTGTTCTCTGCATGATTCACAAGTTTCATAAGTGGATAAAAGGTTGGCTCATCGAAAAATGGTGATGAAGTTAATGGAAAAGTTGATGTGAAGGTAATTTCATCTCAAATTCTTATTCCGATTCCTATAAAAGTTATGCAGACTATGACAACAAAAACAACAACATCTTCATCAGCTAATCTCAATGTTGAGATTGATATGTCGATGGTTCAGTCCAAAAAGGATTTAAAAATCAATAAAGCTGGAAGCTCTTCAATAGTAAAGCATGTTGATATGATAAGTAAATATAAAGGAAATGGGTCTCAACCAACAGAATAGGAGAATAAGAAGTTAAAAGCAGCGGCAAGTGAGAAACTAAGGCAACTAAATAGTTTCTTGAGACAAAGAATAAATGACCCACACGCTTTGGTTGTAAACAAGATGTGGAATTATGAAAAAATGGAGTTTATGGATTTTGGAAAAGCAGGCGCGTTTGAGAAGCTGCAATGAGAGTTTCGCAACTAAGGATTCTCCTATGTCTCAACTAGATTTCCCTTTCAATCCAACAATGTTCACTTTTATTCAGTTTAGACATGCTAATAATTTCCATGAAGTTGAAAATTTTAAGTTCATGAAGATAAGATTTCATTATGTTTGGGAAAAAAAAGAACAAGTATGGTCCTTGAAGAAAATTATCAAGTTAATCTCTATATAAAAGGATGTTATGTTTGAAGAGCAGTTAAAAATTATGATTACAAGGTTATCAGAGTAGACAACCGTGCTTGTGAATTCACTATTGATGACTTCTTATTGATGAATCTTAATGATCTGATCACATTGGCATACATGATGAAAACATTGGATGATAAGTATGTGATAAATAAAGATGTATATGTAATTAAATATGCCTATCTCATGAATTACATTGATTACTATTTATCAGACCATGGTCTATCTGACCTTGACATATCAAAGGCATACAATAAACCTGAACATAATCCAACGACTAGAATTGATGATGTGGATTTGGAGTAGTACGTGTTGGATAGAGTGTCTAAGTCCATAACTTTAGTTGGTATGTACTTCACCCGACCCGGCATGGTCCATTTGGGTTGCATGGCATTGAAATACTTGGATAGACTAAATGAGAGAAAGGACACTTGTGATTATTAATATATTGTATGTTGTAATATATAAGTAATAGTATTATTTAATTTGTGTTGATCAAGTATTAATTTAGAATTAATTTGGTAATCAAAATGAGACTAGTTAAATATATAGGGTTGATTATGACAATCATCTAATATTTTATGGTGGATTTACGACCCATGGTGAATGGAGTTGGTTTATAACCATTTGGAGCTCCATGGATAGTTCATGGGAGTTACAAAACCATGGATCATTATAAATGAAGAGTCAAGGGTATTCATGTGTAAACTCTAATTATGGCAACACTATAAAAGGAGCCCTATAGCTAGCAAAATCAGACTGCTAGTGAGTTTTAAGAGGGCATAACCGATTTTTGGGTGCAAGTGTATTCTCTCAAGTTATTTCAAGTCATGTAGTGTTGTGTGAAGCGTTTGAGGCACAACATTTGGGGTGCTAGGCTGACAAAGTCTTCAAGGAATCCAAGCAACATGAAAGGTATGTACTTCTACTAGTTTTATATTGCATATTGAAAGACCCCAACTTTCGTATTTTTGAAAGACCCAAACTTTCATATTTCACATTATCAATACTCCAAAACATGTTATTTGGATATTCATAAAAGCAATATTTTACATTGATATAAAGGATTTACAAACAATTGGATACAAACCTTCTATTACAAAGTGTTATATATATATTACATAAGTACCCAGGATATTGTAATTTATACAAACATAAAAAGTAGTACAAAAGTACTATTACAAACTATTCTACATCTTTCAATAGTATGTAAACATACTATTTATTTATCACCTGCAATTGTTAAACATTGATAGGTAAGCGGTGACACTTAGTGAGTTCAAAAATAGATACAATATAATGTTATGCCATATGTATACTTCAATGTGGCAAGGCAAAGAGGAACAACCAGATGTATGTGAGATCATGTAACAAGCGTTCATATCAATCAAAGAAATTATTCAAAGATATTCTTTTCAATTCTTGATATACATCAATAAAGCTTTGGCCCAATTGGCATAGAAGACATGCAATTTCTGATTAACATCTTGTTAGATTTCAGGCTTATAGTCCTGTCTAACCATTTGCCAATGCCATAGAATAGAAGTCATTCTCTTACGGATACATGCTCTACATGGCCAGAGGCTACGTACCAGTACCAATGTGAATCTAATTCCTTTCACTAATCACATGGTCAAAGTTATTACAATTGCTATTAACATAGCGAATAACACGAGAAAATAACTCAGAATAATAATACTGAAAAGCACATAGCACATATAACACATAACATACAATTGTTCCTATATATCGAACTCACCTTAAGTTAACTGGGGGTTAAAATAGTAAGTTGGACAACACTTCAGCTTTAAATATGCCTTTATATGTTGAAAACTGGGAATTTGTTTGAAAATCGGGCTCTGCGAAGGTAGGGCTTCAAAACCGAAAAGATAAAATTTCCGGGTTTCTCGGGGGTCTCGAGACGTGTTTCGGGTGCTAAAATTGATTTCGGGGCTTCGAGGAAAGTTAATATGAAGAAAATATGGAAAGAGGGGCTAAAAGTGTTAAATTTTCAAAGTTAGTCGGTAAATCTCGCATCCCTCTTATTTATAGGGTGCGAGTCCGAGGGGTACTTGGCTAGGGAGGCTCCACGTAGTACATGCAAGCTTTGGACACGGAAGGAAGGCGTGGCACCTGCGAGCTTCGGACCAATCAGGCGAGGCCACGTCTCAGTGACGCGGCTTAAGCGAAGCTCGGACGTGGCACCGGGTTCGAAGCGGGTAAGCGAGACGTGTCTCGCGTCGGACTGGCCACCGATGCAAGACGTGTCCCCTTCCTACTGGACCTCGGCCTCGGCGAATGCTCTTGTGACACCTGCTGAGTTCGGATTCGGCCACGTCTCCGGTGACGTTGCTGCTTCGTGCGAACGTGACGTGGCCGGTACTGTTCATGCGACTTTTCTCGGTTTTTGGGCCACGAATTTCTAAAATCCATAACTTTCGCATACGAGTTCCGTTTTTGACGTTCTTTACATGCATGCGTAGATAAAATGACGCTCTACAACTTTCGTTCAAACGTTGTCGGCTAATTTTGACTTTAATTTTATTATTATTATTTTTAACAAACCGGGACAGGAAAATCCGTTAAAAATTCATAACTTCTTCATCCGACATCCGTTTTCGTCAGAATTTTTACCGTTGTACTACATATGACGAGACCTTCGATTCTCGTTTAGGATGTATCGGTAAAATATCGCTCGATCTAAAATTCGAGTTTTTAGTTGTCTACTGCTAAGTTGAAACTTCGAAAAATCATAACTTTCTAATACGAAGTCATATTTTAGCATTCTTTTTATCAAATTTCTCGGTATAACGAATACTACGACTTTCATTTAGATTACTAAGGCTAAAAAGTAGTTTATCAAAAACTCACTTTTTACGTCATTCGGCGCCACGCCGGTTTTGTCGCGGATCTTCGGTTGGTCATAACTTCTTCGTTATAACTCGGATTTTGACGAGGTTTTCGCCTACAAATTTCTAACGAGATTCTCTACAACATCAAATAATAAAATTTTACTTATTTAAAATTTCATATTTTCGCTAAAATTCACTGTTTGGCTTTTAATTTGAATTTCATAAGACTTCCAATATTTTCTGAGTGATTCTAAACATAGTTTTACTTAATTTCTAGTAAAAAACCATATGTTAGAACTCAACACTCAATTTTACATAATATTTCACAATTTTATTTATTACAAAACACGATTTTAGAACGTGTATGTTAAAAATACCTCCTCATTTTGAGGATTTCGTCCCAGAAATTACACCGATTAAAATAAATGGGGATATTTTGCTTTTATCTTATTCTTATTCTCCGAAGTATAGTTTGGGCCACGATGGTGTTTCCACTTGACAAGCACCAATTCTACTTCTTTGTTACGTAGCTTAGTTGTCCTTTCATTCACGATTTCATCAGGCTCTTCTACATATCTTAACTTATTATCCAATTTCACTTCGGATAATGGAACTGTCTCATCGTACATGCTCAAGCATTTGAGCAAATAACTTACATGAAACACATCATGAATACCTGCCAAATGTTCAGGCAATTCTAAGTAGTAAGCTTGCTTTCCAATTCTCTGGATGATTTTGAAAGGACCAACAAATCTAGGACTCAACTTTCCTTTCTTCCCAAATCGCATAAGGCCTTTCCATGGGGATACCTTCAGCATCACGAAATCACCCACTTGAAATTCTATAGGTCGTCTTCTTTTTTCCGTATAGGACTCCTGTCGATCCTGGGCCGCTTTCATTCTTTCTCGTACGATTTGAATCTTATCGGTGGTGTCTGCAATCATTTCAGGGCCTCCAAGGATCTTCTGTCCTACATCACGCCAACATAATGGCGTACGACATTTGCGACCATATAATGCTTCATATGGTGTCATTTTGATTGAAGCGTGGTAACTGTTATTATACGAAAATTCGACAAGCGGTAAGTATTTATCCCAGTTACCACCGAACTCCAAAACACATGCACGAAGCATATCTTCTACTGTCTGGATTGTTCTCTCTATCTGACCATCTGTCTGAGGATGATAAGCGGTAGTGAGAGCAACTCGAGATCCTAATTCGCGTTGCATACTCGCCCAAAAGTGAGAAGTGAAGCGAGTATCGAGATCGGAAATGATCTTTAGTGGCACACCATGTCTTGCAATAATTTCATCCAAGTATACATGTGCGTATTTCTCCATTGGAGTCGTTTCACGCATAGCAAGAAAATGTGCACTCTTAGTCAGACGGTCGACGATTACCCAAATGCTATCATTCTGTTTAGCAGTCTTTGGCAATTTGGTAATAAAATCCATGGACAGCTCTTCCCACTTCCATACAGGGACACTAAGGCTTTCTGGAGTTCCATAAGGCTTTTGGTGTTCTGTTTTGACTTGTAAGCATACTAAGCATTCCTGTACATATCTTCCAATGTCTCTCTTTAATCCAGGCCACCAATAATCAGCTCTTACATCATAATACATTTTACTTGTGCCAGGATGTATTGATAGCTTAGATTTATGAGCTTCATCTAAAATCTTCTATCTTAATCCACCAATCTTTGGAATCCATAGCCGATTCTTAAATACTTTTAATCCTCGTGGTTCATCAAGTAAAACA